AGAAGGATCTCTAAAAATGATTAAATGCATTTCTTTTTTAATTTTAAGTTCCACACATTCACATCTGGGAGCTGCCAAGTATAGCCACAGTCATCTATGATTGGCCTCTAAGGGCCTCTAAGTCTCACTGGAATTGAAACAGAAAGTGCCTTGCTCAAGGCTTCTTGATGGCAGTTGCTCTGGCAGGGAAGACACTTTTCCCTACCCTGTCCAGTTATTAAAATGAGCAAATGTCAGCTTGCTTAACGTCACGGCAAAGTGTATGGATATGTTGATAAAGGAAGATTATTTTCTCCCATCAACATCCGTAGCTAATAATAGAAGCTTTGATGGTAACATTTCGACAACTAGTTGAAAATTAGTTTTAAAATAGAGCTTTACCTAAATTGGTTTTTAGTCCAGCAACCAAAACATGTGATATTTTGCAGATGTAGTATAAAATCAGGTTATCTTGCCAGCAAATCAGGAGAAGAAAATCCATGTACCGGTAACAATTATTAATATTACTAAGTTATTTATTTAGTTAAGTTATTTCAGGTAATGCTTGAGTTGTTGGCAGAAAAAATTAAATCCGTGTGTTGTGTGTCTGTGCTTACTCATGCAAGACTGGTCTGACTACTGTGCTTCCTGTGGTATGGGCCTCAAACATCAGTGTGTACAGGTACGGCAGGAGGGTGTAACGGATGTTCAGGACATCCCGGGACGAATTGGAGAAGGTGGCATTCCAAGCAACAGGATCTTGTCTCTGACAGAAAAAACAATTCAAAAGTAGTAATTAGTAAGGAAGGTTAACAAAAATGACTATAATAAAACTAATTGTGACAAACAAAGGATTTTTGGCTTTTTGGCCTTGTCACTTAAATTGTTTCTCACAATTGACCATTCGCTAAGCTCCTCCCCCTAATTTACTGTTGCTACATCTGTCAGGCTTTCTGTTGTCGCACAGCACATTACAGTTTGCAATGATAATAATGATGATTTTCTGGCTGGCATGAAATCTGTCACTGGCAGATTTGATCAGCTGTGCCTAGGCAGCTAATTAAGCTAATGCTAGTTGCAGCTTGTTGGGTGAAAATGCTGTTTTCTGCTTACTTTTTAATGTTTCCAGCTCTATTCAGGACCTTAAATATGCACCTGATGACTACATACATGGTATAGTATTAAAGGACTGACACTTATGACTCTGGCAAAAAGTCAGCATCCAGTGATGATTCACATAGAAGACTTGAAATACAGAAACACCACTGCTCTTGTATTGTAGCGTAGAGCTAGTCTTAGAATGATGAGTATGATAAGGAAAATGTATTCACTGTATTGTATTCAATAAAAGTATGTGCCACTTTTAACGTTACAAGAGAAAAGACTTTTAGGATCAGGACTAATTGATGTGTTTGGCAAATGCAACACTATGTCGGGTGAAAATGGCTGGAGTTGCTAGAATGTAGACTTACTCAAATGGAGTTTTCAGACAGTGGGGCAATACTGCACAGTGGAGCTAGTCGTAAACAATGTAACTATAGCAATACTTTTGTACTTTTTAGTTAAAGCTAGGGTATCTCACAACAGTCGTTATAATAACTGAAATAACTGTCGCTTTGCGCTCGATCCGTTTTGGCCTGTGCTTCTTCGGTGCAACTTCATCGTGTATTCAAGGTAAGCGAGTATTTTCAGTGTTGATGTAAAAAATACTTTTCTGTGTCCATGTCCCCATTGCTAGTTTAGCACCATTTGCTGAAAAAATTACCATGGCTTAGTTGCTACGTTGAGACTAGCGTTAGCCGTGGTAATTAGAATAATAATAATCTTTATTTGTAGAGCACTTTTCAAAAACAAGTTACAAAGTGCTTTAACAAGTGTAAAGACAATAATACCCAAAAGACAATAATACAAAAACAATACAAGATAAAAGCAAGAAAACATACTAAAATACACTTTTAAAATAAATATAAAACTAGTTAAATACAATAAAATAAAAGGGATAAAATAAAGTCTGATAAGATCGGGAAAGGCTCTCCTATAAAAGTATGTTTTAAGAAGGGACTTAAAAGAGTTCACTGACTCAGCTGACCTGATTTCCTCGGGCAGGCTGTTCCAGAGCCTCGGGGCCCTGACAGCAAACGCTCTGTCCCCTTTAGTTTTCAGTCGAGACTCTGGAACAGACAACAGACCTCTGCCCGAGGATCTCAAGGTACGTGCTGGTGTGTATGGGACTAAAAGTTCAGAAATATAACAAGGCGAGAGGCCATGAAGAGCTTTAAAAGTAATCAATAGAATTTTAAAGTCAATTCTAAAACATACTGGGAGCCAGTGTAATGAAGCTAAAATAGGAGTAATGTGGTCATATTTCTTTGTTCTGGTTAAAAGCCTGGCAGCTGAGTTCTGGACAGTCTGGAGTCGATAAATAGATTTTTGGGTTAAACAGGTGAAAAGGCTGTTGCAATAATCCAGGCGTGATGAGATGAAGGCGTGTAAAAAGTTCTCGGTGTCCTTAAAAGTTAACATAGATCGAATTTTTGCTATATTTCTAAGTTGATAAAAACATGATTGAACAAGCTTTGTGGTGTGCTGCTCGAAATTTTAATTACTATCAAACCAAACACCAAGGTTCTTTGCCACAAGCTTAATGTGATTTATTAGAGAACCAGCAGATGGCAGTATTTGTTTTGCCAGCTGCTGGGACCCAATGACCAGGATTTCTGTTTTGTCTGAGTTCAGCTGGAGGAAATTATTTGACATCCATTTTTTAACTTCACAAAGGCAGTTGTTAAGTGAACTCAGCATTCCAGGGTCTGTGGATCTGACGGGCAAGTACATTTGTGTGTCATCAGCATAAATATGAAAAGAAATGCCATGTTTATGGATAATACGTCCAAGGGGAAGCAGATACAAGGAAAACAAAATGGGTCCTAAGACCGACCCCTGAGGCACACCATATTTAACTGGACAGAACGAAGAGACATAATTGTTTACACACACGCAAAACTTCCTATTTGGCAGGTAGGATGAAAACCATTCTAGGGCAGTACCAGAGATCCCCACCCAGTGCCTCAGTCTGTCTAACATGATGTTGTGATCAATGGTGTCAAAAGCAGCGCTAAGGTCCAGGAGTACCAGGACTGAGCACATACCTTCATCAGCAGACATTAAAAGGTCATTGGTGACTTTAAGCAGGGCAGTCTCAGTGCTGTGGTACTTCCTAAAACCAGATTGAAACTTTTCAAATATTTTGTTATTTATATAAAATAGTGTGTTCTCGCATCCTTAACCATGTTATTGTAGTTAATTAATAAATCCTTCAGACTGAGGTAATGGACTTGGAGACTGGATTTTTTCCATCTGCGCTCTGCTTTCCTGCATTCCCTTTTTAGGCTGCGAATGCTGTCATTTATCCAGGGTTGCTTACTAGCTTTAGACGTAGGCCTAACCTTTAGAGGAGCAGTAATATTTAGTGACGACAAGCAGCTTTGATTGAAGTGATCGACCAGATTGTTGGTGTTGGAATCAGACAGGTGTTGGCTTTGGCTCTGAAAGAATGCGCAAAACTTTGAAACACTTTGTTCATTAAAGATGCGAGAACACCCGGAGCTCGGTGACATGAGTAACAGGCGAATCGCAGCTAAAAACAACACATCTGTGGTCAGATATGGTCATGTCCACTAATTCCACAGAGGAAATGCTGACACCCAGGGTAAAAACCAAGTCCAGTGTATGACCACGGTTATGGGTTTGCCCTTTGACATGTTTGAAGTTAAAAGAAGTGGCCATATTTAAAAAGTCAGTTGGAGTAACATTGGTAGGGTCATCAACATGAATATTAAAATCGCCACAAAGAACAATTCTGTCATAATTTAAAACCAGAGTAGATAAAAATTCAGGAAGTTCTGATAAAAATCCTCCAGGCGGTTTTGGGGGACGATAAATTATAACAAATATGATAGGTTGCAGCCCTCCAACTTTAAGAGTGAGAACTTCAAATGAGTTAAATTCATCACAGCGTACTTGATGACATTTTAAATTTTTCCTATACACGCTCACTAGCCCACCACCACGACCACTGACCCTCGGTTGACTAAAACAATGATATTGAGACGGACACAGTTCAGCTAGCTGGCTATAGTCATTCATTTGCAACCATGATTCAGTTAAAAACAAAAAATCTAGATTTGCAGACAAGATAAAATCATTTAAGATAAAAGTCTTACTTGAAAGTGATCTCACATTGAAGAGAGCCATTTTAAATGAGTTTGTTCTGGGTGCTGGAGTTGGTGCAGTTGTCCTAATCCTTTTAGATTACTAATATTTCTGTGTGGGATGTGCACATTTCAGTTTACTGGTCTATGCATGATGATGACAGGAATAGAAGTCTTTGGAACAGCGCTGGGAGCAGACGGCTTTACATGCCAGCAGGTGGAGACAGTTGTTTGTGGCAGTGAGGCAGAGATCTGTTCAGTGAGCGGTGGTGTGTCCAGGTGTGCTGCATGAATGATTAGTCATTCACGTAAGTCATGTGTGGACCGCACCACATGCTGTATGTGAGAAGCTAACATTTCTGAGCCCCATTTGTTAGGGTGAAGCCCGTCTGTCTTAAAAAGAGACATTCTTTGCCAGAAAATATTAAAATGATCCACATAACACACACAGTGAGCCCTGCAGGCGGTACATGGCAACCAATTATGTGGTTGCCATGTACATCTAACTAGCTTAAAGTCCGTGTAAAGTCACACATGACATGACACAACCAATGTTTGAAGACTTTAAGCCTTACATTCAATCCAGCTATTGAATATTGTCAAATGTTTGAGAGTTGTTTATTTTTTATATAGAGTTTAATTTAATTTAATGCAATAAAAATGTAAAAGTGCTTGAAGTGTGTAATATTGTCACGTCTTCCTTTGTTCTGTTTTCCAGCCACTAATCTGTTTCCATGGTTTCTGTCATTTAGTTCATCTGCATCACCTGTGTTTAGTTAATTACCATCATCATCATCTGTTCCACCTGTGTTCTGTTAATCAGTGTTCATCTGTGTTAGTATTTAGTTCCTTCAGTTCAGTCAGTCTTTGGCCGTTCTACTTTGTAGTCTTGTTTAGTGTGTGTACATCCTGCCTAAGTCCAACAAACCGACAGTTTGTTGGACTTAGCAACAGTAACTAAGGAGGGTGGGGCTACGGTTGATGGTGAACAGTTAATAGTGAAATTTGAAATTGTATTATTTTAATACATATTATTTGCAATATTCCGTTTCCAAATCAATCCTTCTGTTTATTAGGTGATCCCCTAGTAGCCATATAGGTGGACAACCTGTTTTCAAATCCAAAAAGTCAAAATATTTCTACAAAGTCCACTGACTGAGATGCAACAAGTTCCCTGTGTAAACAGATTCACTCTTTCAGTAGATATACAGTTCAAAAGCTCTGTATGTGGTTCATTTCCTTCCGTTACAAGTACAAATACACACAGACATGCAGGGTTATGCAGAAAAACAGCCAGTGGAGTGTGAATGTATTACTTTGAGATTTGTCTGTGAAATAAATGTACATTCACGCACAGCTGCCTTTTTCTTATCTTGTCATTGTGTTTGCAGTGTTGACTCTCTCCTATTTGGATTTCACAATATGCTGTAAATGAATACCTTTAAAATGTTACCTGGCATGAAAGGGACCGACAGCAATACCAGCTAGTTTGCAGCATTCCAGAAATACTCAAATGGCCTTCGTGCATTTATTCTGATAAATGATGCCCAAACATCACTGTCCCACACTGAACTGACATTTACCTCATTTTAATTGGCATCAAGTGTCCCCGTAAGAGTAAAGGACAGAAAAAGAGGACACAGTGTCCTGCTGTGTTGTAGATATGTGCCAATCTAAATGTATTAGCTCATTTTCTGGAACTGTAGTGAGGACAATAATCAGTCTGGTAAAGTACACACACACACGCACGCACGCATGCACGCACGCACCCATACCCACACCCACACACACACACACACACACTGAGGATCATGAAGATTTTCATCTGAAGCGTGTCTTCACCATATGCTCCTCCCTATGATATCGTGTGTGTGCGTGTATGTCTTGGTGAGTACTGCATTTGCATGACAGTGTGCGTATGCACACATTTGGGCACCTTTCTCAGTGTGTTATACCGTTAAGTGTGAAGTCTATATCCATGTGCCTTCCAATTAAAACAATCCTAAAATATTTAATTCATCACAGAGAGTAGGAAAAATATGACAGACATTTTCTTCCTAGCTGCAATTTAGCTGGGCAGATTTGATAATAGTTATTAACTCTAGCCCAGTGGTTACTAAGTATAGACCTAACAGCACATGATTGCATAAAGAACATTTCTATTATCTTATGACCTAAGGAGTTTACCAGATTATCATTTAATTTTCTGAGGAAATTTACAAGATTTTAATTATCTGGAAACCCACAAGTTCTTCCACCTGCCTCCTTTTTCAATAACCCTCCTTTTGCACCCTCATGCCTTACAATCAGATGTGTTCACCGGGAAGAATTACCATGTTGTGAGTATGTGTGTGTGTGTGTGTGTGTAGGTGTGTGCACGTGCGTGTAAGAAAGAGATAGGAATAGAGAGATTTATCAAATGAATCTGAGTGAGTATGGGCTTGTGTTGCTTTCACAATTAGAGAGAGGACAGAAACAGCTGATGCAATGCAGCTACAGGGATCTGGTTTCAGGGCTTGCTTTGGATGGTTTTGTTGCATGAAGCTCAGGCTCAAGTCAGGTTTGGTTAGTTTCAAATTTAATTTATTACAGTTTTTTTCAATTGCTAAGATGCAATGGTCAAAACTGAAGCCACTTTTTCAAAACTCTTCACACAGTCTGCATTACCAACATGCATCCTGGCCAAACAGTTAATCTTACCTCCAAAAGTCACTCAAACCACCAAAAATTCTTCATATAAGCCTCAAAATAAACTCCTTCAGCCAAAACACTGGCAACAATACCCACTCAGAAAGCATACATTGTCACTCATAACACACTGACCTACAAAACACTAACAACAGGAAGCATTACGTACATTTGTTGAACTTTTATCCTTGAAATGTGTCTGATATTTTCATATAAATCAGTATTTCATTATATAATATAGTTGTTTTCAGTCACTTTGCTACATTTCTCAGATCAGAATTGAAATTCTACTTGTTCAACCTCCACATCATCTAGTCGCTTGTGCACATCATATAGATAGATAGATAGATAGATAGCTTTATTGTCTGTCCCAAAAAAAAGGTGACAGAAATTCTCCTTCGACAAGGCTCCTTTAAAAACATACATTTAAACACATACATCAAACACACAATTAAAACCTACATTACAACAGCAGCTGTACAATGTCTATTTGTTTTTTTTGTTTTTTTTTGTTCAGAGTGGTTATTGCAGACGGTATGAAATATTTCTTGTAAATGTTTTTCCTGTCAAGTGGAACTTTATATCGTCTGCCTGATGGCAGTAACTGGAAAGAGTGATGGAGAGGGTGAGAGGGGTCTCCTGTGATCAGGGTGGCCTTCCTGATCACAGAACGGTTGTGCAGCTCAAATAAGGGGGTTTGTGGTGAGCCGATTATCTTGCTGCAGTGGTTTATTATGCGGGAGAGTTTGATTTTATGTTTGACTGAGAGGAGGTGGTGTAACAGCAATTTCTCAGTCTTTTGAGAAATTGCAAATTGTACATGCTTTGACACGTTTATGCAAATTATTATGTATTTGTCTGCTGTTTCCAACATTATCAGTTGCTTACTGTATGTCATGTTGATCACAATGTATTACAATATACTGGTTCTTTGTTGAGAAGTCTTACCCCCCAAACATCTAGACATAAGTTCATTGCGTAAGTCACTACATGCAAAATGGTTGAACACGTCATAATCTGCATTTTCCTACATATGTCTATTAGACTTGTTTTGTAAATGTGTCCTATAGTAAACTGAATAAGTTCTGATCTGTTGTGCTGTGAATAATAATCTGTGGCCCAATAGACAGGAACATCAACCTGAGGGGGTGTTTTCATGTTTCCATTTCTTATTTTGAAATTGTTTCCGTTGTGCTATGCAGTACTGTAAAATAGTCTTGTTTTTTTATTTTCTGCATCACAGTGACATGGTGTCAACAAATTACAGTGCATACAGTAAAAGTGTAACTGTGAATCCTGTCCAATCTCTTGCAATGTTTACTGTAACTCTGTACTGTTGAAATGTATCTATGAAATTCAGAAAAAGTACAGCCTTGTGCATTTTCAATCATTGTCATCAAAAGTTTAGCCATAGTTTACCAATACAAATAGTTTTACAAATGTACCAAAGTGACTGACAAAAAATGGAAGAAACCTGTAACATATTTTCACTTTATTTACTGTACTATAGTATATGTTACAAGAATGAATCAGAAATTCATTCAGTAATTTACTTGTGAAAAAAATAAGTTCCTGTCATTTCAGTGCTGCAATACACTTTTTTTCAGTTGTTTACATAGTTAACACTGGTACCTGAGACCCAATGACCACAGTCTGTAATTGATGCACCATCCCCTTGAACCAATTCTGCTAAAATATAAGCACATTTCTTGCTTTACACTCAGCTTGCAGTTTTACAGTAAAACCACATTCAAACATAAAATGGATGTAAATGTTCTGCAAAGATTTTCTATATATATCAAAATATGCAGAAAATTTGCAAACATTTTGTTTTGAATGTGTTTTGAACAGTTTTTGACACAGTGTGTTAGCATTTGAAAAATATACAGATATATAGTGTTTGGCAGGTGGTGAAGTAGTAATGGGAAAAGATTTTGGAGAAAATGGTCATTGAATGCGTTTTGTGTGAAAGGAATGAAAAATGATTCACAGTTTGGTCTACATACACTTCTGTTTCGCTGACAGTGTGAAGAGTTTTGACAATGTGACTTGAGTTTTGACCAATGCAGGTTAGCAACTGAAAAAAACTGTAAGACATTTCTCTCTTTTGTTCTCTCATGTCAATTCCAATCAATGTGTGTTGTATCACACAAGAACACAAACAAACTGACCGAGGCAGCGGTAGACAAGCAACTCCTGTGTTCTGCTAGGTGAAATTACTGTTTTTATCAATAGAGTCTGGTGGCTTTGACGGGGGCGATTTATTGACTATTTCTGGTTAAACAAAAAGGATCTTACTCTTTATAAAAATTGTATATCTCTGGGGTAAGCTGTCCATAATGTTGTCAGGCACTTATAATAACAATCTGAGCCTGGCAGTGGTAGTACTTTCATGGGGCGCAATTGCTGGCAAGGATTTTGTTGCAGCAAAAAATACAGAAGTTATGTCGGGGCTTGCTATTATCCTATGTCAGACTCTTCTATCATCTCTAGAAAATGAAAGAATATCACAGCCACAAAGAGGCAAGATTTTGTAATTTTAGACATTGTGAACTGATTATCATCGTTAAGTTCCCATTACGTCACATCAAACCCAAGAAATACCACAGAATCTATTCACATATGCGGCAGTGCTGAGATTTGATGCAGCTATTCTGAACAAAGGCGAACTGTAACTGATCAAACAATCAATCAAATATTATTGCTGCTCTTACACCTTCCTGGCACCTAGACTGCAAAGATGATATCTACATTTAAAACTGTGCTCAGGCTTACCTTAGATACCACTGAACTCAAAAAGACCCCAAAGTTGCAGAACCTCTGTTGCCAGCTAATGCAGCCCACCCAGTTTTGTAAAAAGCTAGATAGTCGTAGATAGAGTTCTCAGTATCCTTTCCTTATACATGTTTATTTTGTGCCCTGTACTCTCATTCAGCCGTCTTCTTTCAAAAGCAAAGCAATAATTCCCTGGTATTTCTCTTTGTAATATCATTATACCAAGATACATATCTTAAGGTTCTAGGCCGTTGGACAGCTCTGCAAAATTGTGATATTTTTAAATTTTTTAAAACTTTTTTTTTTTGTATAAACTAACAGGTTAATTACAATCAACGCAATAATTGTTAGCTACGGCCCTAAAATAAGTATTGTTCCTTTTGTATTATTGTATTTGTGGGATGTGAACATGGATGAATAAGGGCATATTCATCACCATTAACTAAAAAGGCCACATTAGCAATATTGATTTTAGTAGTGAGAAAAATTCACAACATTTCTTATTTATTAATGTTAATCCAGCACGCACATGTTTAAGATTTCGGTGTTGATGCCATCATTATCTAAAAGGGTGAGATCACCAACAGGATAATCTCCCAAAACTTGTTTCATACTTTTTAACATTCAGTCACACAAATCTTGCATGGCGTGACAGTTACAGCACTGTTTGCTGGGCCCTCAAGGTAGACTTTCCAGGAAAGCCTGAGGAAGGATGGATGAAGAGATGAGAGAAGGGAGTGCTAAGGAATGAGAAGCAGACGGAAAATCCATCTAATGAATTCACCTAATATATCGACACATTTATGGCAAAAGGTCTTGTGACAGACACTGATTGTATACCGATACATATGTGTGTGCGGGCAAAATCAAACGCGCTGCTTCGAGGAAAAATTAAGTTATCCAGCTGTGTCAGCCCTTCTAATCCCCCCCACCACCACCACCACCACTTGGTCTTTCTCTTCATTTATCTGTCTGGGATCTACTCTCTCGCCCCATCTCATAAACCTTTGAGCTTCTGCTTTGCATTGCAGAGCTCCCATCATAAAAAGAAAATATATTTAGATGAACTATATGTCCTTTTGGGTGATTAACAACATACATAACTCCAATATGACTACACCATTGAAATACCAATTGGTGGAGAATACATCTTGTTTAATTAATTTAGCATAGTTCTGATAAGACTGTGGGCACTGCAGTATATTGCTGGTGCAGTGAAATTATCTCAAGGTCAATATTGAAAGTTGTCTGAGGGCAAAGAGACACTAGGCGTGACGGGGCTCTGGGAATGACTCTGCAAAAACTCTCCTCTCTATTTTTCTCACCACTGTCGCTGACCTTGTGTAGCCTCCAGTCTGGTTTGTGGTGTTAATACCTTGTTGTCAAACGCCTTGTTAAGCAGACTCGAGGTTCACTAACTGTCTGATGATTGGGGATTTTATATGGCTGACTGGAAAAATAATGCAGTTTTTACAGTAGACTACATAAATAGCTGACCTTGATTCCCTTTTTTCCCATCTCTCTGTCCTGGTTTGTGTGTAAATTTTTTCTCTCTTCTCAACAAGCAGGCTTCGCTCTCACATCCCTCTTCTGACTTGAACGGAGATGTTTCAAAATCGGTAAGTTGTTTATTTAGCCTTGTCCCAGCTCTAACATCCTTATCACCACCCTGTGTTGCCACCATTGAACTCGTCATTTTTTTCATCCCTCATCTTTTCTCTCTCAGTATTTGACTTAATGGTCCTTCTGTTTTTTTCCTCCCATTTGGTATAAATACATCTACTGTTCTCCCACCAACTGACCCTTCGCTAAGCCCCCCCCCCTTAGTTACTGTTGCTAAGTCCGACAAACTGTCGGCGCTGTCACTGTCTATTACTGCACTCCCCGGAGACATATTGTCAAATTTGTTGGAAAAAGCGATCTCAGAAAGAAGCAGACAGTTTTTCAGTTGCATTATAGTTTTGAAGGTTGTATTCAGGCTGTCAAACTGACTCAGACTGAAAACTTGAAAAAAAATGAAAGATAGAAGCTAAAGCCTTCTGATCACACAGTACAAGTGAACCACCGCATCCCCCGACGACTGAGACAAAAGACAACGATATGAACGATCAACACTGTTCCTGTAAAGCTGGGTAGGCCCTTATTCATTATTACAATCATTAAGAAGCAGAACAATATCGCTTTATTATGTTACATTCAGTAGGAATTTACTAGCGTTAGCTAACTAACATTACATTAGGAACGATCCACAGCCGACATTTTTCTGGATTCATTTTAGGTTTTGGAAAGAGAATAAATTGTACTTCTCCTTTTAACGTCTCTGGATAGCGACTTTAACTATTACAAGTGCCCCAGGAACAGCGTTTGACCATATCTAAGAAAAATACAGCCGAAAAAAGCTAGAAAACGGCTCTTTTTGCATTAGATTCAATGGAGTGCAGCTACGAAAGTGTCGGACCTCAGTTAGAGCGAGTCCTATACTGCGCTGTGATTGGCCAGCTGTGTATTCGGGGCGTGGCTTAGTGACGGGTCAATTATCTCTCCATTCCTCTTACTTTTTGTCTTCCTGACTTTGTCTCTTCCTCTCAAACTGTCATTTTGTGCCCCCCTCTCCTGCCATGTGCCTGTTTTTTCTGTAAATTTTTCTCCATGTTTAAACACCCATTAGCAAGCCATTATTAAATGATTGTAATCGTGGGGTGCATGTGTGTGTGGAGGGGAGGTTAGGTGGTGTGCAGTGGTGCCCAGATCACCTTGAGAATTCAATTATATCCCCACTCCATGCCGTTAAAAAGCACTGACGCACACACACACACACACACAACTGTGTCCTGTCTAGTATTGCAGACTCCAGTGCAGAGAAAGTTCGCCTGCTGGGATCGATCTCCGGACGGGTGTTATTGGATTTCTCAGATGTGTTCCAACGCTCTTAAAGGTCACCACTAGAATGAATGCCACCGACACTACACCACCAAACAGGTCTATCTGTATGTTTGTGGACGTCAGACGCAGATTAAGAGAGACGGGTACAGAAAGCAGCTTAGTTTTTTGGTAACTGTTTTATTTGTACAGCTAAATTCATACAACCTGAGCCCCTGTTATCAGAGCACAAGAACATTGCAGGGGATCAGATTTTTGGTCATCTCTTCAGCAACAGTGAGCACCACTTTGGTACCATTTAAAGGTTCAGTGTGTAAGTTTTAGTGGCATCTAGCGGTGAGGGTAATCAGCGATTCACGGTGCATTCACATGCTCCTCAGATGGTTCCATTTCCCGAGTTGTGAAGTTATTCTTCCGACTTCAGTGTGTGTTCATGTGCTATTAAGTCGGAATGTGGAATCAACATGGACGCTACTACAAAGATTTGTTGGATTAGCAATGCCATTAGTTCACTCTACATGGACAGCAAACTAACCGTTATAACCATATTACAAATTGCATGTTTTGCAAATATGTACAGTATATGCAATACGTGATTTTGCCCGAATTAAAGTTCTGAATACTTCTTTTTGTTCCATGTACACTTTATTTCTCTTTTTGCAATAAAGATTTAAGAAGGAAAAAAACATGCTCTGTAGAGCTGTTTGTACGTTTAGGCTACTGTAGAAACATGGCAGTGCAACATGGTGCCTTCCATGTAAGGGGACCCGCGGTGAATGTAGATAGAAATGGCTAATTCTAAGGTAATAAAAACATAAGGGTTCATTATGTAAAGTCTTTAAACACCTCTAAAAACATAGTTATGGATATTATTTTGTATTATTGTCAATAGATCCTCCTAAATATTAAACACTGAACATTTAAGGCCAGGGTTCTCGCAAGTTTTGAAAGCATCCAACTCCTTTTGTGGAGTTGTTAAAAAGATTTTAAAGACATTTAGAATGCAACACTTGTAATGTGTTGGGTAGGGTTGACAGAGTTCCAGTTATTCTTATATTATTACTTCCTGTGAATGTACTGTATCACTCTGTTCATGGGGTTGCTGGAATTTCTACCCATTTGTGGATGATTATTGAAAAAATTCTTACTTTCAATTTTATATTCCTCCGTATTTCTTAGATTACTGGTAGTAAAACAATTAAGATAGCAACTGTGGCAAACAGTAGAATCATATGTTCCTCTCTTTTTCATTTTTATAAATAATTATTATTTTACCATTATCATTATACTGTGTGAAGTGGCAGAAAGAAATTTGAAGCATCCAGCCCTTTTGGTATGTTTCTGTAGCTTGAGAAATCACAGAAGGAGAAGTGTTCTTTGATGTGTAGGGTAAAGGTAAAGGTACTTTATTGTCACAAACACATGTCCGTTCATCCATCCATCCATCCATCCATCCATCGTCAACCGCTTGGCTGGAGCCAATCCCAGCTGACATTGGGCGAAAGGCGGGGTACACCCTGGACAAGTCGCCAGTCCATCGCAGGGCCACACACATGTAGTGAAACTTATTCTCTGCATTTAACCCATCACTCAAGGGCTGCCACTGTACAGCGCCCTAACAAGCCCTAACAAACATTTGTGGTTGCTGATATGTGACATTATTCTGATGATCATTTTGAATGTACAGTAAAAGTGGTTAAAGTTTGTTGCTTTGGAACATACTGAGATCAGAGCTGAAATTCTCAAAACTACTTGTTCCACCTCCACATCATCTAGTCACTTGTGCACATGATAAAAGCAATTTCTCATTCTTCTGAACAAATTGCGAATGATTTGACACACTTATGCAACTGTGTGCTGTTCCCTACATTATTGATTGATTTTCATGTTGATCACAATGTATTATACTGGTTCTCTTTTAAATAGTCTCACCCCCCAAAACATCTAGAGATAAGTTCATTGCGTAACTCACTATGTGCAAAATGGTTGTCAAGCATATTTTCTATACACGTCTTTTTTTGTAAGTGTGTCCTGAACTGATGAAGAAATCTTTTATGACGTGGTTGAGAACCTGTGGCCCAACAGACAGGAAGTGAGGGGTGTTTCCCATGTTTACATTTCTAATTTTGTAATTGATCCTGTTGTGTTACACAGTGCTGTAAAACAGTCTTGTCTTTTTCCTTTCTGTATCGCAATGATATGCTCTATCAACAAATGAAGGCACAAATGTGAATCATGTCCAATCTCTTGCAATTAATCTCCCAAATACAGTATTGTGTAACTTTGTACTGTTGAAATTGATAAATGCCGTACAGAAAAAGTGCTGCCTTGTGTATCAAAACCTCAGCCATAGTTTACATCTGAAAATACTTACACTGTTATATTGGAATCATGGCTAAACATTTTGACTATCTTGTTTGTAAACAATGACACAAGGACTTGTCATTCTGATAACACTGACATGTTCGTTGACACAAATATTTACTTTTGAGAGATAAACTAAGGATTCTGAGCAAGTTACAGGCTTTTGCAGGTAATCCATTGTGTGATTCTGCTTGAACAAACTGTTTTGAGAAATGCACTTTCTGTTTTTCAAATGTTACGGATGATTCGAGAAATGTACCTAGTGACTAGAGAAAAACTGGCTGCTAGTTGGCCATCAGCATGAAGCAAACAACCACGAATAAGAGCAAAAGTATTTTAAGGTAGGACACTGGATTTAAGTGGGTTTAAAGCCCAGTACATTTGCATGTGAGTGTTTTTCTCCTGTTCTGAATTCACTCACCATGTTACCCTTGCCATTGTGGTTGCGTGAGTATGGATAGAAGGCACCCAGCTGCATCCAGCGAAGACACATTTCATAGTCAGCTTTATTAAAGAACCCGCATATGTCTGCTCCGGTCTGAAAAAGAGGGACAGACAAAAAGTGTAAATGTATGTGTGTGTGAGGAGGCATAGATGGACAGAAATATGGGTGCCAGGGTGCAGGTACAACCAGAAAGAGCACCCTCCAACCATAGGTACATAGGTCACACTACTTTTGTTGCATGCATCATGTTTTTGAAGTGTCCTTGAGCAAGACACTGCAAGAGTTGTGTATCTGACCCTGTGGCTAGGCTGGGGGGATGCAGATGATTTACCATACGGGGATCAATAAGGTGTCAGATTATAATTATTATTAGACTCAATTAGGAGATAAAAGACGTAAGAAGGATAGTATGTGAGGGGAAAGAAAGAGATATAAATGAGACAGAGAGACAGAGGGGCGTACTAGGAAAGACAGAGCAAGCCAGGAAAACAACGTAAAACTGTAAGTTTCAATAAAGACTCAACTTCAATCAATAACACATTTTTATAGGTTATGATGGACTTTCGGTTGGGGCGGGGCTTGTAATGACATGCCTCACATTGTATCTCAAGATGTCCTTTGATCAAAGGGCCTAGCAAAAAAAATAACATCACTCAGGCTGCTGTAATCTACTTAGAGAAGACAAGGTCACATCAATAAGATTATGTCTTGTCAAAAAGATCAGATGATGATACTTACGTAAGGGATGCCAAACAAACTGAACTCCATCATGCCTATAAAACAAAGGAAAACGGGGAGTCATGCAAAATTAAAGATTCCTTTTCTCATCAATGTTGCACAGTTTGCAAGAATGTGTGGTTCATCACATCACCCTCTTCTCATAAGTGTGCAAGGCACGAATATTGTCAGATTACTGGTTGCAATGCAGACTGTCATAACCAATTATAAGAAGTGCTGTCCCCAAGAGTATATTTACAGTATATGTACCTATAATGGACTTGTATAGCTGGTCCCACTGGCTATTGTTGTCTCCCAGCCAATGTCCAGCCCATTTTCCACTGGAGGGGTAGGTGGACCTGGTCACCACTATGCCTCTTTTACCTGTGACACTAAGCAGGGCACTGCACAGAGAAGAGAGACTCAGTGATTTTAAGTTGCACATGGAAATAACACACAGACATACATACAGTAAACTAACGACAAGTTGAATGTAAAATGATCTTCTCCCTCTTAAATTAAGTATATTCATTTCAGAAGCAAATTAGCCAATTAAGAGTGATTGTTAAATTCAGCACGGTGCTAAAATTAAATGGCTCCTAAGCTGAAGCACCTGGGCTCAAGGCCCAATGGTGCAGAGCATCCCCAGGCTCTCTTGTAGCCTGGGGATGCACAGACTCTGCAATTTGGACTCCCTATGGTGAGAGGGAAATTTCCCCACGAGGACCAATGTTAGTTTCACAATGGTGGTTATTATCACACAGGTTTGATGAGACTGTATTTCTGTGTATTGCTGGAAGATCAGTTATGCATTGCCCGTGGCTGCTTTTTCCTTCTAAATATGTGTCCTGCTCTTTCTGTCCGCTTTACTCTTCACTTACATCTAATATGACTTTGTTCAGATTATGTACACTGAAATTATTACACAAATCTGTCTACTTCCAAATGTAGTCTGGTTCAGTAGGCAATACAAACACAGTTCTTTGGCATCATGCACATCTGCCAGAAAATGTGTCCTGTTTGCTTTGTTTAAAATATTAAATCTACATTAAAACTGTCATCTGTTTAGGTTCATGTGAACGTTTAATACTTTTGCACAAAAATATGTTTAAAAAGAATGCTGCCCTCTTACAGGTGACACACAAAGACATACACACTCATACAAATACTCACAAATATAGATACATATTCACTTACTCATAGGTGGGCTTGGTATGGGACCAGCCATAGAGGTTGTGTACGTCGTAGTGTCTGACTTTCCTTCCATCGCTGAGTATCTGCTCGCTGTTCATGCATAGCGTCTTGTGGTTTAAGCCGAATTGTTTAGACTCCAGCGCTTTTGGGAGGGCAAAAAAAAAACACACACACAAAACATAATCCTTGAAAGGCATGCTCCTAATGTTGATATTATAGCATAATAATCTAATTACATAAGGATAACCAAAAATAGAATTGTGTGTGTGTGTCTTACGTGGCATATATGGAGGGTTCTCTAGAAGTGGATTACCAAGACACTTCCCTCCAACTGTGCCGTGTACAAAACTGGCAGGCTCATTCATGTCCTACAGATGAAGACGGGGAATTAAATTGAAATGAAAACCAGGCAGAATGAGGTAATAAGGTTACTTCATTAAAATGTTTTCTTTCGGTTCACTCACAATCCAAATGCCATCAAACTTCATAGTTTTCTCATAGAAATCCTGGATTTCTTGTTTCCACCAGTTTGCTGTTGTCGTGCGGAAGAAGTCGGGGAACGCGGTGTAGGCCCTGTATTTCTGGAAATGGGACAGTCAAATGGAAATCAGGAAATGAAATGCTGAAAACTTAACAACCCAACACAGCCCACAAGATCTCATGCATTTTAATTGTCCCTCACTGTATCCCCTTAATTATGCCATAAGACGCAATTTCAGATCGTGGGATGTTTAGGCATACTTGTCAGAGGTTAAGAAATGATCAATATATGGAAAATATTGTACCTCTACTTGGGTATCCCAGTCCAGAGAATCATTTACTGTGACATTAGGGAAATCTGGCCAGACCTGCAAAAAAGATGATGAATCACAAACCATAAACTGCAAAAGCATAATATTGTCTGTTGGTTTTGATCTCTCTTTATCAATACATGCTTTTATATTTTTACACTATTTTATCTCTTACCTTCCCCCACACAATTCCATCAGTGAGGTTTTTGGGCCATTTGATGAAGACATCCGCTGCTTTACCTCTCTCAAAGGCAGGGTAATAAGTCTCATTGCCTGAGATGGCTGGATCCTAGATTTATAATACACACAACTCTGAGCATTTAGTAGCAGAGTGTGGCTAGTGATTCAGCAATTTAACATTCAGCCTTTACAGATCTAAGCTTTTATATATCCATTTAATATTTACACCTGCCCTGTGGTTGCTGATCCTTGAGTGCCCAATCCTGTGACTGTGTTAATAGTTGACAATGTAATGGCATTACCAGAATGAAGATGAACCTCATGCCCTCTCCCCTCATTTGGTCAACCAAAGCAGGCAGACCAACAAATTCCGGGTTCAGGACAAAGTCCAGCTGACGCTCCATGTAGTCAATGTCTGCATACTGCACATCCTGCAACAGACGCCAGTTAAAGCTCAAATTAACTGTAAGTTAAACTGACTTTGTTTTAATAAAAAATTCAGGACCAGGCAGTAATCAAAACAACATGTAGCAGTTATTTGAACAGCAATATCTTCCTGCATTAAATTCAAGAAAAATAAAAATCTGTTTTGTGCTATCAGCCTGACAAAATAAGTATTATGGTTAGCTATGGAAATCTAGAAGGTTTGTTAACATATGGCATGAAACAACTGAGACAAAACAAAGTGGGGGCTGTTCTTACAGTGAGAAAAAAAACATAATCTGCTTTGGTTGGCTGGTATGTCTGTGGCAGTTTAAGGTTGGTTAGTCTGTAAAGCTAGCTGATGTGTAGCCTTTGTAAGCAGCTGCATTTTTTTTTTGCTTCTTTCATTCCAGTTAATGATGCAGGATTCTTTGCAGGATTCTTTTTGAGCAGGCGTCAGCTCTTTGCAGGTTAGGGCTTTGTGAAAGCATATTCAGGGAATCAGTTGATCATCGAAGGAAATTCTTTAGTTCTGTTCTGCATGATGAAGAGGGGATTCTGACTTCCATATGTGTCATGGTCACACACAATGCTCTCACAGATGAATACTACCTTGTGTTTAGTTACAATTTTGGGTCCTTACACTGTTTGGCAAAAATGTTGAAACAAATGTGAACCCCCGGAATTACTGTCTCTGGTACAAACTGTAAACATAGCGACTGTTTAGCCCACAATGAAATGGATTTAAAATGAAATTAGAGGTCACATCTTACACATGTGTGTGCCTGATGTAATCCATGAAGTCAAGCCTCCATTTATTTTTCATCAAAATAACTTATTTTATCTAGTTTAGTTTTATGCAGTTATTGTCCACATACAGTGAATGATTTTGTAAGATATGGGTAGATACTTTGTTGGATTTAGCTCAGTCTATTCCACTGAGTGCATGTCCCTATACTGTACAACCTACAGAGGACAAGAAGAAGCTATCTGATTGCATTTGTTCGGGTGTGGACAATGAAATGATTCCTTGTATTGAGACACTGATTGAATTTAGATAGGGTTTCAGCAAAAGCAGGCAGATTTACTGGAACTGTTCATGGGTAGTATCAACATTGTGTCCCGTAATACTCTATACAAAAAGAGTATTTTTTTCTTATTACATATAAACTTGTCTTAAACAAATGGATCATAGAAATAAAAATACAATCACGATGGGATGGGAACATATCAGTTGAGGATTTATGTTTTGTTATATTTTTTTGGTGTTTTTCATGATGACAATTTTCTTTCCTGCCACATGATTTTAATCAATAGACCTGTGGTTCCCTGCAACCCTGTGCGCCGGATAAGCGGTTGACGATGGATGGATGGATGGCCCGTGGTTGTTGCTGATCTTATCTTGAATTCAGCAAAAAAAAGGCTTTGTCCAGGAACTTACATAGGGTATACCCGCTGCCCTCATGTCTGTGTATAGATCTGCTATCTCCTGGTGATTGGCGTAACCATAGCGACAGAGCTGGAACCCAAGGGACCAATATGCAGGTAAAACAGGTCGTCCAATCAGCTGTTAAGAAGAAAAACAAACAGGGAAGTCAAAACAGTTCAGCCCAGAAAAAGTTGTTTTGCAGGAAAACAGAGCAGTGTCCATAGAGTGTTTGTTTG